AATGGGGGAACAAAACAGAAATGCATAAAAAATTCACACCCAAGGTTTCAGCGAGCTGGTAGAGACTAATCAACTGGAATATAGGTGCATTCCAATAGTCATGGAGGATGAAATAATCAGAGGTAGGATTCAGATCAGGAAAAGAATGTTCCAGGATGCTGGCTTTTTGAAGGCACTCGAGAACAGAGTGAGAGGGACTGAAGCGGCAGTGAGAGAGATTAGAGAGATGGACACTCACTAATCTGTCATAAGAAGATTAAAAACAACTCCAGGAGCACTGTGACAATACATATGTTACCAAGTTATACACAGAGTCTAACAAGGTAGAAATCCACTTTGTAAGTAGTTTCTGACAATAGTATAGCTTCTACTTAGGGGATAAGGAAGAGAAGTTTGTTTTCTGGATATGCAATTCTGCAAATGATAAATGGTATACTATCTAATTCTTTAAACAAAAGTACTGAGTTACAGCTTCAAAGCTGGGACAATCAAGGAGTGTGATTTTCCTTTGAATATTGCAAAACCTATCCTCTAAGACAAAAAGATCTGATCACAAAGTCTATAAAAAGTCCAGAGAGTATAAAAGTACAGAACTACGAAAGTAGATATCTTGATGGCAACTTTTATGGCTTCCATAGAAAGTCTAGAGAGGATCTCTGGTTTGCTTTATCGAGGTAGTGTCCAGGGTTGGAAGGTCATTGTTATTTGTCACAAATGCTACAGATGATAGAAGCAGGTTAGCTAGGGTGTTGCTAGTACATAATAATGCCAGTATCTCTTAATGGCTAATGACCTTTCATTCCTAAAAAAAAAAAAAGAAAGAAAGATCTTTTGGGAAATTTCCTATCTTGGTTCAGGCAAAGGAAAATTAAAACCCAATATTTACTTGCTCAATTTTAATAGTCTGAAGAAATCCAAGTGAGTTGATTTTTGTAATGGGACATAGTTCATAAAATTCCTAAATGTAATTTATCCCTTTTTCATCAAATACTTCCCATACCATCTGGAACAGCATCAAAATGTTCATCATGTTGGTCAGCAACATAATAATAAAAGTTGTCTCTTCTATACAGTAGCTCAAACAGAAGGTTTCTCTAACTTTAGTTTTTCTCTCTTTTTTCAGACATTAAAATCCCACCCACCATTCTGTATTTCATTAACTGAAATCTTTAAGATGTGGTAAATACACACACACACACACAGACACACACATATATATAAACACACACATCTGCAATGAATTTCTGTTTCTGCTTGATTTTCCTAAAATTTCCAGTGAAATAAAAATTAAACTAAATAAGCATATCCATTCAACAAACATAAAAACTGAAAAAAAAATGTCAAGAAATAGAAAATCAAAAGTTTACAAGCATCTCTTCAGAGTATTTTGCCTTTAGAATACAAGGGACAATCAACCATATATATAGAGTGTATATAGGGAACATTCTCACCACAATGAAAATGTTCTTCCAATCAATGTTGGTTTAAAAAAGATGGTATGACTATGGTAATGTCCATGCTGTCATTAATTCAGAACAGAAAATGTAAATGGTAGACTGTAAAAGTATATGTAACTGATTTGTAAAGGCTACTGTGAACTATGTAGTGAAGCTTTATGTGGAGACTTCCCTGCCTGCTAAAAATAGGAATCAAATCACAAATATGCATGGAAAGGAAGCCACATGCTTTAAACTGCTCATCTTATTTTCTTCATTCAAATGTAAAAAATATAACTCTGTATAAGCCTGTCCCTCTCAATTTGAGAAAGCAACAAGCAGCCTTTCATTAAGGCTAAGGAAGAGTTTATATTTGAATGACAAATCTACGCGAAAGAATAGAAAAATGTAAAAAGTAAATTAAAAAGCAATTATCAACTCAAGCTGGGAATTTCTAAGTCTTAATTCTAGCAATGGTACAAGCCTTTGAAGACAGTAAAATTTAAGTCATGAAAAACAGCCTCAATTTGATATCTATATTAATGCTGAAATGTGGCCTTTGTTGTCTTTAAAATTTAAGTACAGATAAGGGCTGAGAACTCAAATTCCTCCAGAGTTCTTTTTTTCATAAACAGATAACAAATAGGTAATAATTTCTGAAAAAGTCACAGGTTGCTGTACTATAGGTGGGAGGGAACACACCACACAACACAACTTTTATCTTAGTAAAGGATCCCAATCAAATCTTTAACCCTGAGTTTGAGTCTTAAGCATGTTAAACCTGATGCACATAAATGTTTAAGGCTTCATCCTGCAGTTCTTCTATTCAGAAACATTGTTATGAATATTCTTAATGCATTTCATTAGGCATATGTAATCTGACACTGATGAACAGCCAATATGCTCTGAGCAGTTTTCCTGAAGACCACAAACCCCAAATCAGGGAAGGTATACTTAACTAGGGGAAAAATTTAAGTTTCCAGATTGTTCCATAATACATTTCACTAAGAATTGTATTGTGTGACAATGCTAAGTTTTTAAAAAAGATAATCCTTTTCTTTTTTTTTTTGCTTCCATTAAGGGTGGTAGTGATTTTTCTGCTTAGTATTGGTTTTCCTATGTAGCAGATATTTTCTTATGGCTATATTCACTTGAATGAAAAAAGAAATATGACTACCTGAATTTTCCAGTGTGTAGTTTATAGTACACCTCATAAAATGGTTGATTCTGTAAGTCTCCAGTTAGAATTCACAACTGCAGCCCAATACTGTAAATTTATTTAGAATAAAATAAGGTATAACCAATTAATTAAGCTCAATTTATATCTTAAAAATCATTTTAATATTATAAGCTTGGACATGAAAAAATGGTATGTCCGCACAAAGGTGTATACCCACAAACTTGTCATGGAATGGAAATTGTGGAAGTAAGGGGAGGCAGCCACTAAAGATAGAGCAGTCATAAATAAAGAATTAGCTTTTCTTATTGGTTTGGGTACTTGAGTGTTCAAAGAATGTATACAAACATTTAAAACAGCATTCTTTAGAAGTTACATCCAAAAATAGGGAGAAAAGTATGATACTGAAGGTACTTTCTTGCCTCACTTCCAAACTTTGCTATGCTCACTATAGAAGACAAAGGCAATAATCAGAAAGAAAAAATTTGGAAGTATTAAACCAAAAAGCTAGCAGAGAATGCAGTATTTTAAAAATAGGGACTTAACCTCAATGGAGAGTTCCAGTTTTTCCTACCACAGTTTTTCTGAGCTAATAAGCCAGAAAAGTGCTGCAAATATTTCTGCACACTTAATATTAAAAATAAAAAATAAATAAAAGTCAGGGTTCTGAGTCACACAAAGATTTAAAAGCCCGAGGAAAGAAAAATGAAGAAATTTCAAGATTAAAAAAACTGAGGAAGGAAGAGAGAGAGAAAGTAGACTTCGCACTGGAACTCAGTTCACTGACATGAAAAATTACAAAACTTTTAGCTATACTGAGTCTGGATAAATGTGATCAGTTAAAAATAATCTGTTAGCCCTTCTTCTCAACCTTTCCTATAATGAACCCCCGATAGACCATGCTCTTCAGAAGTTACCCAAACTCTTCCAAACCTGCCCCAAATTAGAGATTGGCTCTTCTTATCACCAAGAAGACTGCTACCAGGTAATTACTTGCAGAGGACAGGGCGGCAAAATGTCACGTTCTTTCCCTCACTGCAATTTTAACTGTGTTGAACAGCTTGAAGTTGTGACTATATCCACTGATACAAGAGACATTTTAAAAGTCATAACCCATTTGTGTTCTTATCCAAATTTCTCAGCCACTATCAGCAACATCATGTTTTGATTTTAATGTACTATTTTATCTTTCCACAACAATTCTAGAAAAACAAAGCAACCTCAAAATGAGCAGTGTAGCAGGAGACTTCAATCTATCATCCCACAAAGGTTGAATCTGAACACAGTTCTGAGGGAAGTGAGACGTGACTGAGATGAAACAGCCTCCCCAACTTCCTCCTCTTGATGGTGTACAGCTTGACTCAGATTTTCAAAACAGGCCAGCTTCAGGTGACTTCCCTGGAAAAGGCTCAATCCCCTGCAAATCATTCCATTTAACACACTAACTGAACCAAACAGAACATGGAGGACAGAGCATGTCCATAAGCCTAACAGACCCCCCAAGTGTTAAGCAGAGATTAAAAAACTACCAAGGACTTATGTCAAGTTCTGAAAGCAAAACCTCATTTTTTGCAGTAATTTGGTCTGGAGACCCTCTGAGATACATCTACTTTCTGAAGCACCTTTGAGTTGTACGGATGTAAGAATAACTTTGAACTATAGAAGTTATATGCATCTTTAAGAATCACATTTTGATGATTATAAAAATTTTTTCTATTTTACAACATAGGTCCAGCTACACTGAAAAATTACACCGCTTATTGAAATACATTTCATTTTAGAAACAGACTACTAAAGAAGTCTATACAAAAACTCTAAAATAATTTCTGTAGTAAAATAAAGAGTGCATTAGGAGAGCTACACAAAGAAGAAAATTTCTGTCTTTCTCTATAATGCTTGATATACTGTGAAACACAGCTAGCTCAACTCTGAAGCCAGCACCAAAAGCTGAAAATAATTTGTTACGATACACAGTGATACAATTAATGCTCTGGATTAATCTCACAGCCTTCCCGATTAGTACAAAGGAAACCAGGCCTGTCCCCTCTTTGAGGAGAAGTCCAGGATATAAAAGCAAGCATACCTCATCAGCTGATATGAAATTATAAAATTCCACAAGTCTGAGTATTTGAAATTTATAAAAGTCACCAGAAAATGCAAGCAAATTGGGCTTTACTTCGGTGGTTCCCTGGTTTAGATGACAGTTCCCTCCGTGAGCTCAAGGTCTTCTCGTTCACTCCCTCGGATGTGCTGATTCACCAAGACAATGACAAAGCTCCTGGTGGAGGCTGAGAGTCTGACCGCTACAGAAATGCTCACCAACCCCCTCTCTGCAAGCTCACACCGGGGCACGTGACTCGTGGAGAACACACTTAAGGAGATGGATGTTAGTGATGCTGTGCTGCACTGCTCTTCTCTGCCAGGTGCCGCAGAAACGTGTCCTCACCCTGGCCTCTGTTATTTAAAGGCTCACTCTTAAAGAGAGCTGGAGGTGGGGGGAGGTGAGGGACGGGGGGAATGGGCAGGTGGTGTGGGTGGTGAGGGTGAGCGTGGATGTGAAGGTGTGAGAAGGGGTGCGGGATGGGCCGCGGGGGCAGAGTGCCGACAGGGTTCATACTGACGGGAGGGGCGGGGGTCGTGGGGGTGTTCACCGCAGAAGGAACTGGGGTGGCTGGGGAGGTTGTGAGTGGGATCTGGACAGCAGGCGGCACGTTCACGGGGCTGGTCACCCGGAAGCACTTCTCCTTGTGGGCCTTAAGCATGTTGGAGAAGCGGAACCGCTGGCCGCACACGTCACACGGGTAGGGCTTCTCGCCTGTGTGAGTCCTACGGTGCCTCTTCATGTTGGGGCGGCTGGTGAAGCTTTTGCCACAGATTTCACAGATAAAGGGTTTCTCTCCTGAGATGAACACAGACACAAAGACATGATTAACACTAGGCGGTAAGTATGTGCTCCAGCTACCCCTCACATTAAATAAGGAGGTTACCACTCCTCTCCCTTACTGCATGTTATATTCTAATAGTCATAAAAGAGTCCCCCAAAGTTGGGACTTCACAAAAAACAGCAGACACAACTAAAACTTACATACAGCCTACCATTGGGGCTTGGTTAAAAGAAGATTAAAAAAAAAAAAAGGCATCCACCAAAGTGAGCTTCCATATCCTACAGGAAGAAGTGGTTAGATGGCTTTCCTGCGCTCAAGGGGACCAAGCCCACAGATGAATCTCTGCTTTTAAGCTAGGCAAGCTGATCTGTAAGGAATTTCTGACATTCCAACCCAAAGTAGAACTTTGCTGAAAATGTCCCATGGAGTAAATAAGTCTCCTTATGTCAACTCATACCTAATCCGTAGCATGTGGCTTACTTTCTGGTATCTGGGGAAATGCCGGACTGCCTCACCCTACAACATGGCTTTCACAGTGCAGTGTTTCTCTACCACATGGGACTGTCTGCACGCCTGAAGAGCACTCGGTAGTCCTGGCTCCGGTCTACTAAATGCCCCCAAGACATCCTGACCATCAAAACTGTCCCCATACCATTTCCAAATGCCCATGGGTGTGGGGAGGGTTGAAAGGCAGGCTACCGTTCCTGGTGGAGAACCTTTGGGACAGGGACTCAAAAAGGAAACAAAACCCTGTAACTCTAAGTGCGCCTAGGGAGGAACTTGGGTTTGGGTTCTAAGGGATTAGTTTTTAAGCTTTCCTTTGGATTTACTGCATAGTGGACTTACTGCTTATTCTATGCTGTTTGCCTGCCCCTCTCCCTCCCTACTGTTTGGGAGAAACAAAATGATGTTTGAACATACATGTCTGTGATCACTTCATCCAGGATGCTGTGGTACGGTGTGAAGTACCTGTACACACGTACATCAGTGACCATGTGCTTGTTCATCAATGCTCAGTCTATGGAGCTTCTATCTTTACTGCAGCTCCTGCTACAAGAGTTTGCTCTCACTTCAATCATTGCTCCCTTTCTTTCTAATAGATGTCCTTATTCTACTCAGTATAAATAAAAGCTACTGCATATTGTTCTAATATGCAGTATTACTTACTTACTGTGTTCTAAGATCTCATTAACTTTTGGTGATCCTGACAGCCTTATGAGGGATGTATGCTGTTACCCCTATTTTACTGATGACTAAATTAAGAAACCTGCTAAAGGCTCTATGGCTAGGGCAGAGGCAGGATTGAAAATTCTGCAGAATGACTCCAGACACAAAAAGCACAGCACTTTATACCCCAATGCTTTGTGCCTTCCTGCACACACAAAGGAATGTTATTTTCTTACTGTTTTCCTCCACTTTGAGACTTCTAACCCTTCGGCAAACACCTCTTTATCCATATTGCAGTCTTTACTTCTTCTCTCTGCCTTTGAAAACGGACATCTCCTGGTGCCCTCCTTCCATGGAAGCCAGAATGGTCCTCACTTCCTGAAGACTGAATTGAGCCGTCAGGACACACCAGTTTTCTCCACTGTACTATCTGCCGACTATCACTATCTGTACTATCTGCTGACTAGAATATTTCTTTTATCTTCCTACCTTTCATTATTCAATCACTGCCATTCTTCACTGTGATTCACATTCATCTTTCTAGATAAATTCTGTACCCATTTGCTTTCCTTCTTTTTAATCCATTTCCTCCAATTAAAAACTTAAAATTCTACATTAAATGGAACCAATCAATTGTGGTATACTTATCTAACGGAGAGTGTCATTAAAAACAGTATTTTAAAAAGTATAGAAATGTAATTGTTAACATGAAAGTCTATATTATCTGTAGTTTATTAAGTAAAACAAGCAAGTTATGAAAATATGTGCATGTGTTATCAAAATGCATACAGGAAAATATGGAAAAACACAACAAATGTTACATGTGATTATCTTTAGATAATGGGTTGTTTTATTCTATTTTTTATGCCTATATGTACTTCCTGTTTTCCAAGATAAACATGATTCATTTGTATAATAAAATGTTTTAAAAGCACACCTATTTGATAACCTATTAATCCCCTTGACCCTTTCCTCCTTGACTCTCCAGAGTTAATATTCTTCATTCCTAATAGCCATATGGAACCAGAGCCAAAGGATCTAATCTTTGATTATTAATCTAATACAGGCAAACACTCTCCATTTCACTAATCACTTTGTTGGTTCACGATACATGTTACTCACTGAAAGTTTATTAAATATATGGACATGTAACTTTCTGTTATGTGTTCAAACCTGGGTCCAATACTGGATCGCTCTAATCATCTCTCACTTGTAGTCTTCCAGGCTATAATGATTTGCCACAGATAGATCAAAAACTATTAGAATTGGTCTACCACAAATCCATGTAGTCAAATTTAAATGAGTCCTTTGTACTACTTATTAGTCTTTTATCCATTTCTTGAGGTCCTACCAAATTTCCCACATTTGCTGTTCGAGATATAAACCCACAATCTCACATAACTCTTAACTCTCATTATTTATTAGACCCCATCTTTTAACTGTGCTAATGACTGATGATAAAGTTTCCCTGAAACCTCAAGGCAAGATTACAATGAGGCTGAAACAAGGAAAAATAAAAATATAATATTTGAAATCAACCACCTGTACAATGTCCTATTTTAAGGAAATGTTAGTAAATGGGTGGCTGGAGGAGGTACTAACATCTAAGTCCATCAAAGTAACTAGAAACACATATATCAATACATCTTATGATGTGACCTAACTGTTACATACAGATAAAGCTAACCTAATTGTAAGAAATAGTATTATAGTGAATCTGAAGAACACATAATATAAATGAAGAGAGAATCTGCAGGGAAGATAAAAAAGAGCAAGAATTTGGCTAGTTAGCTGTCTTCTGCACTGTTCAAAGGAAAAAGTGATCTGGCCAATAAACATAACCACTCTAGTCATATCTGTGAGCAGCATCAGAAATCTGTATATCTATATATCTGGCCTACCATAAGATTACAATCCTTCATCTGGATTACTGCAACAGCCATCTGACTGGTTTCACCTTGTCTATTCTTGCTCCCCACTCTCCAATCCACTCTTCACACTGTGTAGCCAGAGTGAACTTTCAGACAGTTTTGTCACACTCTGCTTAAAACCATTTAAGGACTTCCAACTGTCCTTAGAACAAAGCTCAAACTTTTCTACATGGCTTATCCTGTGATCCAATACTTCCTTATTGCTCTCAGGTATCATGTCTTACCATATTCCCTGCCTCCTCTCCTGCCCTGATTCGTCAAATTCTAGCCAATTTCATTTAGTTATACTTACTATGCTCTCATCACCAAACCACTGTTAGGCCTTGCTTGTCTATCACCCTAACCTGACAATAAGGTCTGTGAACCTAGGGACTATTTTAGCCTTGTTCAGTACAGTAACCCCATTGAGTAGATTCTTAACATCAATAAATAAGTATTAGTTAATTCTAAGACATGCATTTCCCCCCCATATTGACATCTGTGAAACTGATATATACCATAACAATCGATGGCATTTCATTCTTTAATTTGCAGCATTTTCTTAGTGATATATAAACTTAGCTTTGTCATGGAACTGATGACTTCCTGAATTCAATGAAGGTTGGGACTCACCATTAAGATCATTCGATTACCTTCCTTGCCTATAGTTTCCTGTCCCTGATGATCTTCTGATTATAATTTAGCAACTGATATAAATTTTACTTTAGGCAAAGAATATTCTGACCAAAGAACATAGAGTTCTGAACCACCTATCATTCAGCCTTTTCACTGTAAATTAGCAATTTTATTAATATATCATTAAGACTATTTAGCATACACACACACAAAGACTATTTAGCACTATTTAGCACACACACACACACAAAGACTATTTAGCACAGATCAATCCCTCTGATCCTGACTGGGTATGCTGACAAATTCTGCAAGTTGAGAACCAGACTCTGGGATGGTGCTTTTTGCCCTCATGATGTCCTGTGTATCCTTCCATTTTTTTACTTGCTTCATTAAATTTGTATCAGAATAACTAAGTATGTGTTTCTGGAGTCAGATTGCCTTGGACAAGTTCTTTACTCTCTAAGCCTCATCTGAAAAATGAAGATAATAATAGGTTACTGTGATAAGTTAAAAATTTGAGGAAAGTGCTTAGGACAGTATTTGATACACAGTAAACATTCAATGCATTTTAGTGCTACTACTGCTATTATTATTACTATTATTATCATCATTACTATCACTGGACTATAAGCTTTTTGAGGGCAAAAACCAGGCCTTAATTCATCCTGTATCTCTAGGTACTTAGCACTATGCCTGGTACAAGGAGAATCAGCAATTATTCTATGTTAAACTCACCCCGTGTCCACACCATCCCAGGAAACCCTGCCTGAGGGCTGGTCGCTTCCCTAGATAAGATCTGCCTCACTTCTGTTTAACTGCAAAGAAATAGCCCAATCAATGTCAGTTCCTGCAATGGCCTTAATCCCCACCAAAACACACTCTACGAATAGTCCAACCAGCCGTAAAAGAGCTATCTTTTTTCTTCGGTAAAAACTAACCCTTCTTGGGTCCTCTCCAAGGTACTACTGTCATCCTTATTTAATATTGATACCAGTGGAACCAGAGGCCTACAGGAGTTGCATAATTCAGGTAAGGTCACACTGCTAGTGAGTGGCAGTGCTTTCCCAGTGTGAGCATCATAAAACAATATTAAAAGGCAGATGACAAACCAGGGGGAAGTATTTTAATACTGCTGTTAAACAAGATCCAGGGGACATAAATATATACAAAGAGCTATTATATAAAGAGCTACCACAAACAATAAGAAAAAGCCAAACACTGCAATGAAAGGATGAATACAAAAAAGGCACAAGCAATTCAGAAAAGAAAATATACTGATACCCAATAAGTGTACTGAAAGAAATGTTCCATCTTACTTAGCAATTAAGTACAAATTAACACAAAAAGAAACCATTTTTCACCTATTAATTCAACAATTATTTTATTTACATTGGACAGGGTTGAGAAAATGAGTGTTTTTATGCACAGCTGCTAAGAGTGTATATGGACAGCTATTTGGCAATACATACCACCAAGTCTTAAAAATACACACATCCCTTTGCCCTAATAATCCAATTTCCAGGAATTTATCTAAGTAAATAATCATGGATGTGTTAGCCAGAAAGTTGTTTGTCACAGTACTATTAATAACAGAAAAATTGGAAAAATCTAAATGTCCAATGGGGAACTGGTTAAATAAAATGGAGATAATATCCTTAACAGGACTATGGTAAAGGTTAAATTGATTAAATGAGATAATGTATGCAAAGTGCTTAAGATAATACTTGGCATATATGTGCATAATAAATGATGGCTATTATTACAACAAATTTATAAGGACTATTACACAACCATTAAAATAATATTACTGTTAATGACACAATACAGTAAAATAAAAGTAGGTTATAATAGAGCATAAAGACCCAATTTTTGTTTTATTACTATATATATGAATATATAAACAGTTTTTTACAGTATCTATATATATTAAGAAATTACAGAATTTAAAAAATATATATCCTTAAATGTTAACAGTAGTAATCTCTCACTGATAAGATTATAGATCATTGCAATTTTCATATTTTCTAATATACTTTCGTAAGTATGTACTACTACTTTTAATGAGAAGAATAAACATTTAAGTGAATATAAGTGGCTATATTCCTTTAGAAGAAATAGGAAATGTTCAGGTTGCCTATCTGGTCAAAGAAGAATATGTTAAATATATAATATGAAATGTACACTTCAGTTTCATACTCTGGACATTAAGGGCCTGAAGAAAGAAAGAAGGAAAAAGGAGAAAGAAGAAAGAGGAAGAAACACAGAAGGAGAAGGAGAGGAGAAAGTCCAGGGAGCAAGAAGCACAGGGAGACAGGCAGAGAAGAGGTGAGCACAGAGGCAGAGAAGAGGCGAGCACACAGGCAGAGGCTTACACGGTGGACGTTCCTTCTAGTCTTGCAACAGACATTAACTGGGCATCTACTATGTGCCAAGCACTGTTTGTGAGTGTGAAACAGCTTCTGCCATCAAAAGACTTATTTTCTGCTGAATAGTTTCCTGCTGAATTAACAAAAAACTGTGCCCTAAAACCGACTCAGAACTAAGAGTCTATTCAAGAACCACCAGACTTTAAGGGGAGACTGTTAAATACTCTGATACATACTGCTATCTGCTTAGGCTTCAAAGTTAGCATTACCTTTTGAAATGCAATTTACTTAAACTTCTCTCGTGACTCTTCTCTAACTTATTCCTTAAAATCTGAGGTGCTCTGCTCTGAAGGGGAAAGAAGCCCATCAGGCAGGCATTCTTCCTTGGACTTTAAATACAGAAATGGGAACTACAGAGACCCAGACATGGACAGAATTTCCTTACCACTTGTAAGCAGGCTAAGCAAGATAATCTCTTGTGGTTCTTTCTAGCTCTGCTACTCTGCAGACTAATAAAACCTAGAATTCTGTGACTGGATTTTATTTAAAAGCTTGAAAAATGTTTCATACTGTTCAGTTTGTGCAAAGACATCTAATTCCAGAGCATCAAGATGAGACAGAGATACAATGCCTCAGTGTTTACACTGGGCTATTATTCTAACTAGCTCTCTGAAGGCTGGGTGATCAAATGCTTACAAGACAAATCTATGCTATGAAGCATATACCTCTGAAAACACAAAGTAGTTAAAACATTATTTAACCTCAGTTGATGGTTATGTTCATGAAAAGTAGTGAATTTTGATAAATCAATTCCAATCAAAGTTTAAGAATACTGAGAGGGTATTCTGCTAAAAGCAGTCAATACCCTCCATTTTTTAAAGACATAGACTCCTTTCCTCAGAAAATAACATATACATATAAATAAAAAAAGTTTAATACAATTTCAGGAGGTCCTGTGCCCCAAATACAGAGTCCATCACCTTGAAGGAACTCACAGTTAAAAGGCACTAACAATACTTTTTGAAATCAATAAATTGATAAAAGCCTAATTTTTCAATATTATAAATTTGTATTGTTCAATATCAGATTTATGTAAAGCGGCATTTGCTTTAGCCTACTTAGGATGCAGGCTTGTGGTTTAGAATTTTAAGTAAACAGACTCACAGGTGATCATTAGTAAGTGCCTGAGACACATCTGTACCTTTCTCAAGAATTCCTTACCAGTGTGTGTTTTCATGTGCTCGTCGAAGTACTGCTTCATGTTGAAGTCCTTGCCGCACCACTGGCACATGAACTGCTTGTGCCCGATGTGGATGCTCATGTGGGAGCGGAGCTGGTACTTGTACTGAAACCTTTCGTCACAGTTCTGCATTGGACACAGTGGAGACTTTTGAATGCCAGGCATAGCAGCTTTACTTGCGCCCACCCTATATAGTCTGAGATTAGGCTTATTTTTCATACTCAGAATAGAACCTACTTGTGTCCAAATGTTTGGCTCTGCTGTATTTCCAGGCTGAGTTATTAATAAAGGGGAACATTTCTTAAGTAATTATCACTGAAGTATATCCAACTTCTCTGAATTAGTGAGAAATGTAAAATAATTCATCATGTGTTAGTCCCAATTTTAACCTAATCTAAGAAAGTCAACACCGTGTTAAAAATGACTGCTCTTTACCCAGCAGTGAGCTAACAACACACAGCGCTCAGCACACAGGTCTGATGGTTCTGTGGAAACGCATGCCTTTCTTCCACTGCTCACCACGAATACACACACACAAGCCAGCCCCCACACCTGGGCCTGGTGGGCAGCCCAGGCCTTACCTCACATCTGAAGGGCTTCTCTCCAGAGTGCTGCAAGGAGTGCACCTTGAGTGACATACTGCGTTTGAATGACTTTCCACAGGTTTCACAGGTAAATGGCATATCTTTTGTGTGTGCTGCAACACAGAATGCACTTATACTCAAAATCAGTTCACCAAAAGGCTCAAACTGGAAGAGGGATATGTTCTGCTATAAGGACATCTTAATTTACTACTCTCTAATCTGTGAGGCTGTAACAGCGAAGTTGAAAGAATAACAATGTTGAAAAGAAACCTGGGTGTGGAAGACTCTACCATCCAATCTGGTGATGCTTATGGAAGACATGTTGCATTTGGTTTCAACAAGTCAAAACTGCTTCAAGTAAGGCAGTTTCTCATATCCTGCCCAATTCAAAGCATAAAACACACCAAAGAACAAGGGAAAATTATAGGTGTTAGAGAAAAGCAACTTACCAACCATATGTTTCCGTACATGAGCCATGGTATAGAATTTCTTCTCACAAATTTCACAGGAAAATTTCTTTTCTGCATATCCATGGACAATCTTGATATGTTCATGAAGGGACCAGAGTTTCTTGAACGATTTATTACAGGAAACACACTAAGCAGGATAAACAGAAACAATCTTTATTTATAGGGGTTTCCAGACGCCTCACCTGTGGCCCAGCAGCTGAAACTGGCCAGGGTGAATGGGTTGCAGTATTATAGTTCCTTCGATCAAGGACTGAACCCCGGACACCACGTAAAAGTGCAGAGTCCTAACCACTGGACTGCCAGGGAAGTCCCATGAAGTGGGTGTGCTTTGGATTTGTGGCACAAACCAGAATCCAAACAAATGCTACTCTTCCATGAAGTCCAGATTTCAAAACCAACATCTTTATGTTCCATTTCCTAAGATTAATTTTTTAGAGACACTTTGGGAGTATGAAAACAATGGCAAAAAGTAAGACAAAAGGAAATGCAAAGTTCCACTAATATCAAAGAATTGACTGCTTTTATCAAATTAGTATTGTACCTTTGAAAAGAACCTTCAAGTTTTGTTTTTTGTAAAATATGGATTACTGTAAGCAGCTCTTTCCTACACATGGGTTACTATGCAGTTAATATGTGTTTACCAGAGAATACAACTAATTTTAAATTAACATAAAAGCAAGATAAAACAAAGCATACGTGAATGGTCATAGATCTACAGAAGAATAACAATACTTTTGTAGCTCAGAGAATATATTCAGAGTTTTCATTAATACAAACTACTGAGATTTTACTATATTTTCCTAATTAACATTTCCCTCTGGCAGAATTTAACATAACCCCTCAGCTGCTGGCATCCTCCCTTTTCCTGAGGAGCTCAGATCCAGATCTCACACAGGCATCTGTAGGAGACACAGGCAATCCACCTACTGCCCTGTATTATGCATCATTACTAGTCTAAGATATCATAACATGTATCAAGATAAAATACTTCTGGTTAAAAACAGTATTAGGAAGTTCTAGGTAACCATCAGACTCTGTAATACATAAGGGAAAAAGTTGTTACTTGCTGCAAAATTTAATAAACATCTCTAAACACACTGTCACTTCAGGAAATGAGGACCAAGAAGAGTCACAGAGATAAGTCTCTAGCTGGATACTGCTGGAGGAAAGGACAGACAAACCCTATAAGCCATTCATTCTGTAGAGCACAGTTTTAATTTTTACTAGTTATTAGGTCATCAGGATGAGAAATGCAAAACAAGTTCATTCAGCAAAATCCACAAAACTTAAATTATAAGTTTAAATGAAATCACGGTGAGGAACAGTGAATTCAGTCACACAAATAAAGGATTTATTAAATGTTTTCTGCATTTCTTGTTGTTGTTTAGTCACTAAGTCGTGTCTGACTCTTTGGGACCCCATGGACTGCAGCCTGCCAAGCTCCTCTGTCCATGGAATTTCCCAGTCAAGAATATTGGAGTGGGTTGCCATTTCCTTCTCTAAAGGATCTTCCTGACCCAGGGATTGAATCCGCATCTCCTGCACTGGCAGGCACTGGCATGCGGATTTTTAATCAGCAGAGCTACCAAGAAAGCCCCTTCTGTACTTAATGAAGCAAAGTTAAAAGAAAAAAACACAAAAAACAACTACACAAAGATCCAGATTAAGAGACACCTTTTCAGCAATGAATCATTACAGAACTAAGTTTGACCCCTAGGGTGCAGCACAGCATCGCACTTCCTCTGGCCTGAACTGATGCAACCAACTGAGAACCAAGCCCTGGCACCAGGAGTTACTGAATGACAGGCGCCAAGATTCAGTCTTCTTTTATTTACCAAGTATGTCAGAGGTCAAGTCACATCTGATGAATCAAAATGCAGTGAATTTTTAGCAAATATCATTTACACATATGTTTATTTGTACTTTATTTTTGGCAGCGCTGGGTCTTCGTTGCTGCGTGGGCTTTTCTCTAGTTGTGGAGAGCGGGGGCTACTCTCGAGCGCAGTCAGTGCTCAGGCTTCTCACTGTGGTGGCTTCTCTTGTTGCAAAGCACGGGCTCTAGGGCACAAGGGTTTCAACAGTTGCGGCACATGGGCTTAGTAGCTGTGACTCTGGGGCTCTAGAGCACAGGCTCAATAGTTGTGGCACACGGGATTAGCTGTGGCATGTGGGATCTTCCTGGATCAGGGATCAAACCCATGTCTCCTGCATTGGCAGGCAGATTCTCCACTACTGAGCCAGTGGAGAAGCCCCTAATTTATATTTTTTAAAAACCTCTTTAAAGTAATGATTTCAGTTGCTGATTAAAAACAAGAAAGAAAAATGAAAAATAAGGAATATTCCAAATCAGGAGTACTCCAAGAAACACACTGAAACCAAATGATTTCATCTTCTACAAGAAGTTCAGCTTACGTATGGTATAAGAAATCTCTATTTTACATATCTTTTGGAGACATTAATACACTTACCTTTCATGAATGTTCATATTCATAAATATGCACTTACATGTGCAAACCTGTAACATAGCTCAACATAATATAGTTCACACAACATGATATAATTAGCACACCTCTTAACCTATCACAATACAGTCCTTTCAAGAAAGACATCAACCTGGTTTGAATACCATGTTTTGTTATGTTAATACTACACAGTAGCATTATATAAGCCTACCGCCTACCAGGTAGGCAATATGTTCAATCAGCTCAGCCTCCTTTAAAGTTTGCATATTCCCATGAGCTTAGCCTCTTGACAAATTTAGTGCTGTTATCTCTCCACTGCTTTAGAAGCAAACTCACTCCTGGAGATCTTCCATTTCCACCAGTCTGAGTCATTATGGTTTTTGTCCCCAACAGCTGCACTAGAGCCTGGCATCCTTTCAAACCTTAGAAAAGGACCTCTCTCTACTCCTGACTTTTACTTGATATCTCCCACCTTGACAGCGAAGACACCAGAATGAACTACATTACATGTCCTACAAGAGTAAATCTCAGTGCCAAGTCGGTGTTGACTTTACCTCCTTGTCAATCACCTATAACAGATTCCCCTTTCCAATGGACCTGGGTTCCCACTAGTCCAGCGTCGGTTAAATTTATGCTTTTGAAAGAAAATGTTAAGCCTGGTTTTGAAAATACTAAAGCAGGGGCTTTAAAAAAAAAGGTAAATTGGTGAAAACTGTCCCTTCAGCCTCTATTATATTTATTCTCTTGGGCAGATACCAGGTCAGTCTGAAACAGCCAGGTTCTATCCTGGAAAGTTTGCCCTTTGGTGATAAGACCTACCTGAATATTTTTTTCACAGTCTGTTTGCTGGTGAAGGGACAGCTCACTTTCCAGGACAAACTTCTTGCCACATTTATCACAAATCTGCATGCGCCTATGAGTAACGTTCATGTGCTTCTCCAGGTACCAGCGAGTATTAAACACCCTGGGGCACTTCTCACAGGTCAGAGTCTCTTTCTCTTCACACTTAGCTTTCTGGACTGGTGCTTTGGGCTCCTTTGTGGCCCGCTTCTTACGCTTAGGAGGCTCTACACTCTTCCTACGACCTCTCGTAGCTCTGGGAGTAGGGGAAGTGGGAGCTGCGGCAACAGAGGCAGCTCTCCTGGTTCTCCTCTGTGTAACGCTGACCTTCTCCACCGTCTTCTCCTTTTTCTTCTGCCTTTCATTCTCTCCATAGTCATTGCTGTCATCTGTGGCCTCTTCCTCACTCTCTTCCTCTTCCTCCTCGCTGCTTGTCTTAAGAACAGGAGTCTCTTTGGACTGAGAAGAGACACCCTTTTCCCCTTTAGACACATTTAACGTTTGATTATTAAGGTTTACCTCCACTATGATCTGCTCCCTTTTGTAGGAGACTTCCTCCTCCTCCTCCTCTTCTGTGTCATCAGAATTCTCTCGGTCTTCTTTAACACCGTGCACGTCAGACACTGCTCTTGTCTCCCTGAAATACGGCTGCTCCTCTGTTTCATGGAGATGTGGCTTGCTCATCTTGGTGTCCACTAACACAGAATAAGGACTTCCTGATTCCCTTTTGTACACTTTGGTGGACAGGTCGAGTTCTTGGTTGGCACCATGATAAAAGGAAGATGGCACTTGACCACGACGGCTATCTTCTTGTGCCATTCCTGCTACGTGCACAGCACGGTTTTCAACCAGCTCCTGACAAGAACTGGCTGTGTGGCTCATTAGTAAGTGGCCTAATTTATTAAGCAGTTCAGACTATAGAGAATAGGCTTAAAACAGGGTAATTATTAAGACTCAAATCTTTTTCCATCCAACGAAGAATCACTCAAATGGGCCGGGGGGGGGGGGGAGGGGGAAGGTATTCCTGGAACCTGTGTGCAATTCTTCCAGTGTGTTGCAGCACCAATGCATAAGTCAAAAGGTTTGGTATTATGGCAAGAGCAGAGCACTAGTGATTTTCCTTTTGCAGAGAGCTGCAAGTGACTTGGAGCATCTTATCTGCAAAGAAAAGCAAAGAGAAAAAAGATCAGATATTTCTTATTTCCTTCTTATAGCATGCACTGACATCATCCAACAAACATACCTTAAATGATTAAACTCTTTATATACACAATTCTTTATCCTGCTCAAATGGTTCAGTGTGGGCCATAATTTTACTGCATTACATGAATTCAACAAACATTTTGTTAGAATGTAAACTCTAAGACAGCAGGAGTCATTATCTGTCCCATTCACTGAGATATCCTCAGAGCTTAGCACAGTGACTACCAGCACTTAGCTGGTATTCATTACATACTTAATGATGCTTAGTGAGCATCTCTTTTTGCACAGCAGTCATTATCCTGGACATACTGACATGGCAGAAAATATGGCCCATGTCCACAAGGTTTACAGTTTAGATAAGGCTTACAGTCTAGATACACAGTATGTGAGGTCCATGAAATACACAAGAACCTCATGCTGGCTGGCTTTCTTTTCAACATCAGACACCACCATCCATCACAGTGAGAGCTTAAGGAGCAAAGGTAGTAGTGGTCTAGGCACTGTGGACCAGAAAAATAAAGCAGCTAACTGATATAACAAGAGAAGAGAGAGAGAGATATCCCTGGCCTTAAGTAATTTATAATTGAGGTATAGATATCATTGTTTTCAGGTTTATTAGAGTAATTTCAAAGTTGCTAGGTATTTTAAAATTTGTTCTATGCATAGCTCTCTAGATTCACTCAATAGCCAGATGATTTTCATGTGTCAGCTGCACAGAAGTCTAAATTCTAAGAAACAATAACCATAAAGCTGATATGGTTCCAGGAAAAATAAAATCATCCATTAAAAAAAAAGATGAGAAGGGTGCATAATTTGCTTTGTGACGTACCTCACATTGCTGCTTAGCCAACCACTTAACTTCTGAGTCACATAAATATTAACTACAGGCACATACCCTGTCTAATTAACAAAAGGAAGAAAGCTAGTACTTACTGAATACCTGCTATGTGCACAAACACTGTAAAGGTGCTCATTATTTGTTATTTCTATTTAATGCCCACTACAAAACCTTGGGGTTGATTTTTAAACTTATTTTAAATCTTTCATCAAAGTAATCACTAATAAAAAAGCATCCGCAGTTTTACAAATCAAATATACTGCAAGGTTTATAACAAAATCAGCCATCCTCTGCCTACTTCATCCCATCTGAGTCCTTTCCCAGAGACAAAAGTGTTTCTTTTAGCTGTTCCGCTTCCCTTTCCCCCTGTATTTACTTTTATATTTCTAAATAATGTGGTTATATTTCTTTTCTTTTTTTTTTGGCTGTGCCACATGGCATGTAGAATCTTAGATCTCCCATCAGGGGCTGAGATGGGGCCCTTGACAGTAGAAGGGTAGAGTCTTAACTACCAGACCACCAGGGAAATCCCTGTGATGATATTTCTATTGCTTGACTCCCCCCCGCCCCCAATTTTAGACACTACCACTTATCTCCCACTATAGTTTTCTTACCTTAATGCTCTCAACTCTCCTTTCATCCTCCCAATATAGTTGTATCACTTTTTTATAAAGTATTTATTGCTTACATTATTATACTATAATAAGTAATTCACAACTATTTCTATCATTCCTCTGCTACTGTCTCTCTTCCATTGTCTAAAAAATTATTTTAGGGAATTCCCTGGTGGTTCAGTGTTAGGATGCTGTGCTTTCACTGTCAAGGGCCCGGGTTCAATCCCTGGTTGGGGAACTAAGATTCCATAAGCCGTGTGGCATGGCCAAATAAATTAATTAATTAACTTTAAAAAATATATTTTACTTTCATTTTAGTAGAATTTCAGAAAGGAGCAGTGATAAATGCCACCGTGCTTTACTTGACATCTGAATAAATAAATAAATAAATATATATATATACTTCTTTGTATTTATAAAAGAGGAAATTATGTCTATGAGAGGTTAAATAATTTGTCTAAGATCACATATCTGTTAAATGATAGAAGCAATATTTGACCCCAGGCCTGCCTGACTCCAAAGCTTTATTTCTACTATGACAGATGACATTCCAAAATAATTTAAACTCAACTCTTCCTGTAACCATATAGCTTTTTAATCAGTTTTGTACCTTGTATTTTAAGTAGGAAAATCACAGTAGCTTTATTTTATATTGCCCAAACTTCTGAAATAATGTAAACTACTACAAGTACCAGTAAATAAAACTTACCCACATTAATTATCTCAAATTAAGCAAGGGAAGAGGGACAGTAAAATTCAATTAGCCAGCAAAAAATAGGAATAGAACAAAATCATGAAGAAAATAAATGAAAGGATGTCCTCTATGGTAGTCATTAATGTGTTCTTCCCAAATATCCTGGCCCTCAGCCTTCTGGACACAGGACAGGCCTGTACTCTTTGACTCTGCCCTCCCCAGGAGCTGGGTGGGGCCACGTGACTACTTCCGGCCAGTACAGCTGAGTAGAAGTGACACGTGGACGAGCAACATGAGACCCTCCAGGCCTCTCCTCCCACTGGGACAGCGACCAGCAACCCTCAAAGTGATGACTGCTATGGCTGCCATCAGCCTAGGACCCTGAGTAACAAAAAGACCCGCAGGATATGCACAGTGCAGCAATCATTAAAATTCTTTTGTATTTTAACTTGAGGGAGAACATGTTTTCAAAGCCACTGAGATCTTGTGTTGTTTATTACTGCAGCATAACCTGGGTCTCTCTTAGCTGATACAGGTGGAATCCAGAAGTGTTGTACTGTCTCATCAAAAAACCTAAAGTATATGGTGAAGGCTAAGGAGCTAGGGAGAAGGAGGTAAGGAAAAACTTATCAGAGGCTAAAAGGATAGCAGCTCATAATGTGCAGTGTTGAAGAGAGCTAATATGCCTTGAGAATTTATAGCTCTAGTGGGAAAATGGACCATTAAGAGATTGTGTTGGTTACTGCTGGCTGCATTTAACAAATTATTGGATGAATTCAGAAAAGAATTCATCAGTTTCCAGCGATTTGTGGGGTCAGAACAATCAAGTGCTTAACCCCAAACTGAGAAGGTCTCTGAGCTACAAATGCTGATCAGAGTTCAGTCTTGAGAGAAGAATCAAGTCAAAGATTTGGCCTTTACAACCACTGATAAAACCTCCCAATTGATTAAGGTACTGCTGAATGAAACAGCTTTTCTAAAAAAAGACTGAAGAGGGGTTCTCTCATCAAAACAGCCTCTTAGTCTGTTTTGCTACTAAGCATGTTGCTTTGATGTGAATTAGTTCAAATGCTATTAGTAAATAAGGAAATGATGTCAATATAACACAGAAGTTAAGTTGGTTTATATGCACTTTTCTCTTGTTGGAAGTAACCAGGAAAAAGCTTTCCCAAATTTAAAAGAAAGCCTTAGCAATATATGAAAACACCAAGAACGAAGCTAAACATCCCACTTATGTACCTTCCTTTAATGCAAGTCGTGGCTGATTTAGCTGCTTCATGAACCACTGCATTTTCCATTTTATATCTGGTAAAGCTGAGGATATATGTTTCTCCTCCTGTGTTTAAAGAAGAAAGTTTTTGATTGCTGATTCATACACCACACCACAGATCAAATTTTTACTGTAATGAAATTAGTTTCTATTGTAAGTGAATGTCTTCAAGACCCCAAAGTCTCAGAGGAAGAAACAAGCATTCCAGAGACTGAGTCTGTAAAGCTTCAGCCAACTGATGCTGACTGCATATGCCAGTGGAGATTTGATATGCTATTGTTTTTATTTTAATTACTTTGTTTTTACTAGTGCACTGGTTACAGTGGTCCACTGATTTTGAGTCTGCACAATCCTATTTTTTCCCATAAGCCCTGTTTATTTTAGTGTGCAATTTTGCAGAATTCAGGAAAGCATATATGGCATTATAGCAGAAATACCAGTACTCAAAATTAAGTCAAGAAAGAAGTATGATACCAATAAGGCAGAGCCACACAACAAATCTATGAATTTATGGTTAGAAAGAATTGCGGAAGCGGCTAGGGCACATGGACATGACTGGAAACAAATAAGTAAAAAGCCAACTAAGTTTTTGAGGGTTATACTGTTAAAAGGACCATCAGCCTACACTCGAGAGGCTGTGACTATTCAAGACGTTCTCTTTCTTTTTGGCCGTACCATGTGGCATGTAGAATTTCCCTGACCAGGGGATCAACCCCATGCCCTCCTCAGTGGAAGCGGAATCTTAACCACTTGACCACCAGGGAAGTACTCAAGACTTCCAGAAATGATCTTTGGGTTCCCAAGCATCCATGGCAGGAGGTGGATTAAAAAAGCTGTTCATCCCCTTAAGGGGGAATATTCCCCATTGTCCGTTTGGGATACAGCCAAGGAACACAACAGGAAAAAAGGAGGATCAAGAAGATTAAGCCAGGGAGCAAAGAAAGAGCAGACAATTGAGTTAAGGAGCAAACTCGGGATCTCGTCAAGAACATTCACCATCCCTGGAGGGGTCCCCTCAATGACTGTTCAGAGGGACTGCTGTATTTGTTGTATGTCTCCTGTTCGTCCCCTTTTCAAATGGGAGTTTTTGTTTTTTTTTTATCATCCTGGCACTAGTCACCACTGTACATTGTTTGTGAGGGCAGCCAATCATTTGTCAATTTTTTTCTTAAGTCTATGGATCAAAAAGAGCAACATTTGGGCTCTGTGTAGAGACGACTATGCATCATCTCCTCACGAACAGACCACCAGGATCACATCCTT